TAAACGAACTGCAAGAAGAGCTTTCTCGCCTTCGCATAGCGCGAGCGGGACAGCCTCGAGACTTCACTGACAAAAGCGTCACAAGCCACGAGATGGTATGCTTTTCTAACTAGTAAATTTTCAGTTTTGAAGGGATTCAAAAAGTTCAGGTTACACTTCGCATGAAAATGGAGCGATCGGAAGTTGAACTCAGCGAGAGAAAAGCTGAATTAGCTCAGTGTCAGGCAAGAATGAGAACTGCAGAAGAGCAAGCAGCTGATCTACGACAACACGTGCAGTTGCTGAAGGAGCAGATCACAAATCGTGAACAGCAGCATACTCTTTTGCAAGGGGATGTAAGTTCCACGTTATCGCAGAAAACAAACTTCATAATCTGGCTCAATTACCAAAAAAATTCATAGTTTATCCGTTTTCAATGCATTTAGAGTACAATTGAGCTATCTTTTGGAACGAACTCCATTCATATAACAGTGCCCATCTTTGATTCCTTTTCAGGTCGATGCCTTGAGATCTAAATTAGAAGGGAAGAATCAGCAGATGGAACAACGCGACCAACGAATAGAACGGTTGGAAAAAGATCTGGCAAATGCGAAAGGTGAAGTCACCGAGAAACACGAGCAGGTTTGTTTTGAATCAATTTTTGTTTGTGCGTCCGCAAATTGTTGAAGTCTAAATGAATCTATATCTGCAGATTCAACAACTGGATCATCGAATCTCGCAGATGATGGGGCGAATTGATGGTTTGGAGACGTCACTTAGAGATAAGGAATCAGAGCTTGACAAAGCAAAAGTAAGTCTGAATTATAATTGTGAGGAAAATTAATCAAGGTTTTAGTTGTCTTCTGTGCTTTTTCTTTGTACAGACATTCCAAGCTTCTATTTATTCTCTTAACATTTAAATTGAAGCCACTTGTAACATAGCAACAGCACAAACTTACTTTTGTTTGATCTTAATTCATGAAATCCGCATCAAATTTTGCTTTTTTAAACGTTGTGCGCTCGCTACTCACTCTAAGCTTATCAAAATTTAATTCTTCAATTTTTTGAATGACTTTCTTATATTTTCTATGAGTTCATGGTGTCTTATAGATTCGACTTCTCAGCCATCCTGATGTTATTAAAGAAAAAGAGTTTAAGGAGAAAATCGATTCGAGTAAGTCAATTCCTATTTTTTTTTTAAATTACATGTCTCACTCTGATCGCTTATCGTTTTCAGTGGCGATTGAGAAGCAGCGCATGCAAGATCATATCGACCAATTGAGACGGAACTCTGAGAAAGAACGATTAGAGCAACAGGAAACCTATCAAGCGGAGGTGCGCTCTTATCTTAATCTGCCATCTGCTAGTGCAAAAAAGAACTTCTTCTTTTTAACGCTTCCGCTGCGTCTCAAAGTTAGTAAAGAAATAGTAAAAGTATACTTTCTCGTGTTCCAAGTATTTCTTACAGTGTCAATTGAATAGATTTTGCTAATGGACTTCACTACTTTATACTCATAACTCTTGTGTATATGTGTAATAGCCCTTCTCTTTTAAGTTGCGGCAGCTGAAATGTAATGTGGAGAACCTTCAAAAAGAGCTTGCTGATCGTGACGTTCTTCTAGAATCTCAAAATGAAAAGGTTTGACCGCAAATTGTCTCTAGAGAACACTTCCTTAACGTTTTTATTTGAGATCGGTGATATGGACAGAGAACTTGCATCATCACGGCAGCGATTGCAAGCCGTCATTGTCGATAAAGGAGAGAATGAACTTCGCAGAGAGGTAGAATATATTTTTCCCAGCTTTAATTGATCTATAGAGCTGTTCATGATTAGGTTGAATCAGCACGAGGTGAAGTGGAAAAACTTCTGAAAATGGTTCGGCAGCTGGAAAAGGAGAATACGCAGTTGAGTTCGCAATGTAAGCAGCTGCAGAGCGCAATAGATCGAGGAGGTACAGATAGCAGTGGAACATTGACAAAGGTTTGCACCTATCTTGTCTCCGAAAGAGAGCAAACGTAAAAGCGCTGATTCTTGCAGGGCGATATGACTTCAGTAGTTTCTGGCAGTCTGTTATCTGGAGGCATGAGCGCTCAAGCCAAAAAGAGGTACGTGCTCAACTGTTTATACTCTGATATAACGAATTTCCGTGTTACAGAATAGAAGAATTGGAGGAGGCACTACGTGAATCCGTAAGCATCACTGCCGAAAGAGAAGTTCATCTTTCGCAGCAGAAACATCTACTCCATCAAGTGAACCAACAGGTATTTACGCTTTGAAACCTTTGATTAATTACGATACCAGATGTCTTGCCTAGTTATCTGATGCACGTCGTGAGAATGCTGAGCTGAGAAAACGGTTGTCAGAGGGAGGAGTCGCCGAACGTGAACAACTTTTAAGGGCTGTGGAATCGGAGCGACGTCAACATATTGAACAGCTCCTACAGCTCAAGTAGGATGATTTCATTGCATCTTTTTGCGGATTAGTTCTGCAAGAATTGCCTCAAGCATTTTGAAATTCAGACAAGAAGCACTCTTGGCGGCTATAGCGGAAAAAGATGCCCACCTTGCTCTCTTGGAAAAATCCCGTGCCCCTCGAGATGAAATCGACACCGTGCGGAGACATAAAGAAGCGCTTATGCGAAAGTTGAAACAAGAAAATGAACGGTTTGTTTTCTGACTTTTTGT